CGAAGCAATGAATTCGGAATATCAAATACTTGAAGCACGGAAAAGGTTTACTAATCTTACTTTGTGTACTGCTATGCTAAGTGAGCGTCTAATAGTCATTCTAAAAAAGTTGTACCCAACTATATGCTACCACTAAGGTGTGTTTGGTAGGAAGTTTTCTTAGGTAATTGGTTGGCTTAAATATCTTGTAAATATTTTTTAAATGATTTATTTTTAATTTAAGAAAAATGACTTTTTTAATATAAAATAAAATAAAATTCTAAAATTCTTTTTCAACCTTATCACCAGACCCAAATTTGGAATTCAACTCCCGACTCCAACCCCGTTCAGAATCAGGGCCAAGGTCGAGAATAGGGCCTCAAATCATGACATGAAGTCAAATCCTAAATCGAGGTCAGAATCAAAAGTTGAGAGTCAAGTCTAAGATTGGGGTTAGGGTCAAGGTCAGGATTTTAAACTCGAGTCAGGATCAAGAGTCATGAGTTAAGGATTGAGAGTGGGGTCTTGTATCAGGGTTTGGATTCAGGTTCTAAGTCATGGTCGATGTTAGGTCCTAGGTTGCGTGTTGAGGTTATGTCATCATAGGTTGGGAGTCAGGCTCCGGGTCGGTGTTGGGTGTCAAGGTGAATTTGGGGTCAGGTCAGATTTCAGATCCTGATAGAGGTATGCCTCTGTTTTAAAGGGTGGGGATCCGGATCTGATGTTATAGCATTTGTCTAGATCATATATAAAGGCTCATGATATGATATATTTTCTTACTAATTACCAAACATTAAAAAAAAAGTTAAAAACCACTTATTTTCTAGGTGATATATAAAACATTTTTCTTTATATCAAACACACCCTAAGTTTAATTATGGTTAATCATAGCATGCCATATTACCAAAGGATGTAGTAAATGAATGAGATCCATGCATTCTTAATCAGTGATCTCAAGTCAATTTTTAAAATTGAAAAATTCTTAATAGGGATCGCATCCCTCCTAATCTTATACTTCACAAATTTAAATTAACTAAATGACTGAATTTCGTACACCAAATGATTAAAAATGCAATAATTAAGACATGACATAGTGATACCAAAGTTGAAATGTTACAAATAAGATAACAAATGGAAATTAGAATTAGTCTATATAGAAATGTGGTCTTTTCATTCCAATTATTCATGCATAGTTTTAAAAAGATAAATGAAATTCTTGTTCCACTAACTGCAATTCTTCTATTCATAAAATAAGATAACTACCTCTCCTCAAGTTACAAATGAATATTAAGAGGTTTAATTTAAGGAAGCTGTGTGTTAAAAATGAAGAACAAAAAAAAATCCCTTTTCTTGAATGGTCATCTCATCCAAACAATATATCCACAAATAGCTAAAAAAAATCATAATGAAAATAGAATGTTAGTTTTACTTAGGATGAATAGAAAGGGTGTAGTGATCAACAAAATATTTCAGAGAGTCAATATCTAACTTTAAACCCTATGTCTGAATTTGAACTAGATTGAAACTCGGTTCAACTTCAAATATTAATCAAGTCTAAGACTTGAAAAATATAATAAAAAAATTCTAAATCCGCGATTACAAACATAATAAGAGCCAATTTCATTTTATTTTTCTCAAACTTTACTATGGCATGATGATTTGAGAAAATTGTGCTAAAAGTTTGGTCAAGATCCAATCTTTCTCAAGAAATATTATAATTTAATTAGAAAACAATATAAAGAATCTAGGTACCTTCCTATCCACTTCATTAAAGTTATTTAGCAGAAGAAGATTCCCCACAATCCCTTAAGCTCCCTTTAATATACTTTTTAAATTCTTGTAAGACATAATTTGTTCCTTTTTATAAGATCCTTCACTCTTACTTACCTTTCCTTAATTTAGAGTCGTAGAATTGGAATTCCAGATATTCTTTTCTTTCAACCAAATATTATATTCTTTTGTAAATCAATGAATTTGAATAGATTAGATATTCTCTCTCACACACACATTATATGTGCACTCAATTCTATAAAACAATTATGTAACTTTTGAAGCAAATAAAGAAAAGTTCTTTTGGTTTTCCACTTGTTATTTGATATATATATTTGTATCGAGATCTCTGATTAAATTTGAATTCACGCATTGCAGGACTCATTTTTGAAGATAACATTCTCGATAATGTTTTTTTTTTCATTCCCAAAAGTTTGAATTTTAGACATCTGATTAAGAATGGAGAATCTCAATTGATGATAAAAGAAAGTTGCTTTGGTTGATTGATACTTAAGCACCATCTTTAATATGTCCTCCTTTTTCTCTCCCATGCTTACCATAACATGGTTTGGAAAAAGACAATGGTAGCATTTTTTTTATCCTTGAAATTCTAATTTTGATCTTTATGATAATTGAATCAAACATATTTAACCTTTTTAAAGTATAATTAATATTTAATCAATTAAAAATATGTGTTAATTTTGGCCACTTTTTATAATTGTGGTGTTAGGATTATCTTGTGCACATCAAAATTTATAGGGTATGTGCTACCTTTTACCAACACAATTATATAGATATCAGGTAATTCTGTCCAGCAAATCTTGAATAGAAGAGAAAAAATTACCAAGTGTCTTTGAGTTTTCGATCCCTTAATTTTTTATGGAAAAATTATACTAATAATTAGACTATTTCTAGAACTGTTAGTACTCTCAAATATGAAGTATTATCCAAACTTTAAAAAAAAAACATGAGTATTATATAATGCAATGGTTAATATATAGTTTGTTAAATTTAGGGAAAATGCATAAGTACTCCCAATCTATGTCCGAAATCTCAGAGACACACTTATACTATACTAAGGTCCTATTACCCCCGAGCTTATTTTATAAATAATTTTCTACCCCTTTCGGCCTACGTGGCACTATCTTCTGGCCCAGCGCGTATTGACAATTTTTTCAAGCTATCTGGTTGATAGTGCCACGTAGGCCGAAAAGGGGTAGAAAATTATTTATAAAATAAGTTCGGAGGGAGGGAGGGGTAATAGGACCTTAGTATAGTATAAGTGTGTCTCTGAGATTTCGGACATATGTTGGGGGTACTTATGTATTTTCCCTTAAATTTATGAAGATTCAAACTAAGAGGGATCATATGTGCACATTTCAAATTATTGAAGGTTAAATATGTTCAGCTAAATATCACAAGGGCTAAATCACAATTTATCAATATTTAAGGGATTAAAAGTGCAAATTTCAGTGAATAAATAAATAAATAGAAGAACAACATAATGGATGTATATGCTAGTGGGGGGGAAACTTTATAATTAGTTAAATCAACCATAGAAATGGAATCAAGATTCACATTATTAATTTAAAGAATTGGTGCATTTGAATAATTTGTTTAAAAGTACATTTCCAAGTACTACTATCAACTCTATACACCATGAAAATAATTTAATTAATTACTATTACTATAGTTGAATATAATTTATTTTCTTGAAAATGTTTTTGTTAGTGGCATACTGTCTGTAAGATACCCATTAAGCCCAAAAGTAGAATTGTATTTAGAATCTTGAATAACACAACTTACTAGATGAATCTTTTGTAGCATATTATTAAGTTAAAGAAGTAGAAAATTTGTAAGTTAAAGATTAAAAGAAGCTAAAAGGAAAAGGTAAACCCTATGAGAAGAAGGAAGAAGAAGAGAATATCATCTTTTATTTTGAGTGATTATAGAATTTCATATAAAGACTGTCCTAAAGTACCAAAGGTTCCAAAATCAGACTCTTTTCTTTTCTCTAATCACATGACACCTAAATTGATTCCTTCTTTTACATCTCAACCATTTAACTTATATAATTATAACTTTTACATTATCAGTATAATTTTTTCAGAAAACTAATTATATGAGTGGTTAGAGCATTGTATACATTGATAGATGAATAATCGTGAACATAATAATTATTAGGTGATAGCTAGGTCGAGGCACGAGGTGATTCATCATGCATTCATGCTCAAACATGATATAATCGCACGATAGAGATGATTTATTGACATTGAATTCTCATAAATAAAATGAAAACGAGGTTTGTGTCAGTGATCAAGACCTCGCAAATAACAATGCTCGCAGCTTTCCATATGGGGTTCGAAACCCAAATATAATCGTTGAGTGAATTATACCTCTTGTGTGTTAGTTGACCTAAGTCGCACCTTGGAATGAGGCTCAACGTGGCCTCTGAACTGTAGGTATAGATGATTTTTTGCCTCATACAGCTCGAGCCTTAAATATGGAAAGTATAGAAGAGATCAAAAAATTCAGCAACAACTAGCTTTTGATCGAGGGCGGGATAAAACTTGCTTCTTCCCTATCCGCGCTACTATTGGAATGAGGCTCGACGTGGCCTCTGAATGATAGGTGGATGAGTATTTGCCTCATACAACTCGAGCCTTGGAAAAGTATAAAAGATATCAAAAAATTCAGCAGCCAGATGACGATCGAGGGAGGGATAAACTTTCTTTTTCACAAGCCTATCCCCCAAAAAAACCGATCCTGATATCCATGGGTTTAAATTCTACAATCATTGACGGTATGAAAGAATATTTACTGAATTAGATCACTTATAATATTATTATAAGCAAATTTTATGATAAAGTATATAAAATAAATTAGCGACATAATAAAAATAATAACTGATCTTCTATAACATGTTAAAATAGACCAATAATATTTGATATATAAATAAAAACAATTGTTCATGACAAATCCTAGCCATATATACCTCAAGACAACTTACCCTTTCACACTTTCATGACTACCAACAAATAGCTTTTTGCCTTTACTCTTTACAAGAAGTTACTATCCCTTCTTTTCTCTTCTTTTTTTTTTAATCTTTTTTTTTTGGTTTTGTTTCTTTATTTTCTTTATCCTTCCCTTTGCTTTTACTTTTCACTTTTTTTTCCTCTTTCAAGAATCTTTACTTTATTCTCCCTCGAACTTAACCCTCTAAAAAGACCACCATCCTCTTCACAAATATTTGAATCCACCTTGTGTTCATAAACAAACAATTCCTCCCTTTTTTCCTCTCTATTCCACACACACCACTTTGTGTTTTCAAAAACCTATCAACTTTTTTTTTTATCATCTTCCTTATTTGAACATGAATACAAATACATTTGTTGTTTGAGGATTATATACGTGAAATATCTGAATAGACACTTGTACTTGCACCGAATTTTAAAGCTAGACCTAGCTCGTTTTTTTGAGTTTTTGAAAAAAAAAATTGGCAATCATGAATATGGCATCATCAAATTCAGAATTAAGCCTTGAATGCAAACCCCATCAAAGTTATTCTATGCTTTTGAAATCATTTGGTGAGAAAAATATTGATCAAACACAAAATCTTGAAGAATTCTTAACTCGACTTGAAGAAGAAAGGGTCAAGATTGATGCATTCAAACGTGAACTTCCCCTTTGCATGCAACTTTTAACCAATGGTACGTAATTTATTATCTCTTCATTCTTTTCAACAACTAGTATCCATCTTCTGATACGTATACTGATTGTGTAAATAATTTTATACGATCATAATAAATCTTACTTTAGCTTATTATAAGGTAGACATGTCTTTCTTTGTGCACAAGTTTATGTATGAGATGTATCAAAATCAAGAATAGTAGGACTCAAAAATTATTGATTATATCATTTAAGGGTATGATGATTAAGGAAACTATTCAACATAATTGTTATATATAAGGTAATTATTGGTATATCTTTATGATAAGTATTATAATTGATAACCTAATAAAAATGGTACGCAACATGCTATAACATGTTAAACTACACTGATATGTATTAAAGTTTGTGTATTCATAGGTAGGATATATAGAACTTAAATCTTTCATTCAATATATAGCACATATGCTAGCTTAAACCTTATTAATAGTCTTCTTTTTTTTATTATTACTTGTTGCCTTTTCAAACCTGTTATGATAACTCTGGGTCTCTCGAAAACAACATCTCTATCTTTCAAAATCGGGGTAAGGTCTGCATATATCCTATCCTCTTCAGACCTGACTTGTGAACTTACACTGCGTATGTTGTTGTTGCAAGTCTAATATTGGTCCATTTTTTTTGGGAATTAACAGCTATGGAGGCTTCAAGGCAACAACTTCACTCCCATAGAGAAAGTAATCATATTGGACACATGAGACCAGTTCTTGAAGAATTCATTCCACTTAAGAATAACAATGCAAGTGTTGAATTAGGAGCTGAAAAAATAGTAGCAAATAATACATCTACTATTGTTGATAATAAGGCAAATTGGATGACTTCTGCCCAATTATGGAGTCCACCAAGTGATCATCAAGAAACAAAGCAACAAGTACAAATATCAACTACTTGTAACAAAGAAAATGATCATCATAATATGGCCTTTTCTGTTGCCCCAAAATTATCATTGGACAACAACAATTCTTCATGTCCAAGTCCAACAACACTAGCACTTGCTTCATCTAATAAACAAAATAATAATGAGACATTATTACAAGTGGAAGATAACAATAATAATAATAATAATAACAAGAATTTGGAAATTCAACAAGACTCTCAAGGCAATGGAGGTGGTACCAACAACACAATTACAAGTACTCAACAACAACAACCACATAGAAAGGCAAGAAGATGTTGGTCACCTGATTTGCATAGGCGTTTCGTTAATGCTCTTCAAATGTTAGGTGGTTCTCAAGGTAATAACATATTTGTCTATACCAATCTTTTTTTATTCATTTATTTTTGTTCTATGTTATATATACTGATGAAGGAGAGTCTTGGAGCAACGATAAAGTTGTTTTTGAGTGAACTATAGGCTATCGATTCGAGTCGTGAAATCACTCAATCCAGGTTGGGTGGTGCGACTCTTCTCTGAACTTTGTGTGAACACGAGATGTGTTGTGCATCAGATTGCACCATTTTTAAATTATATGCATTGATTATGTAAATAACAGTACAAATATAATTTTAACTTGTGAACGACGTAATTATATAAAAGAAAATACATAATCATTGCAAAGGAAAAAAAAAACTCTCATTTTGGTAAATCTATATATTTAGATACGTTTCTTGTTATAGTCTAGTCTTACATGTACTTTTTATTGGTCTTTCAAACTTTTAAACTGTTTGTTTATAGTCAAAAAGAATTATCATGTCATCATTTGGTTGTTTTCTTTTCTTACTTTGCAAGCAAGCAATCTAATCTTTTTTTTTGTGTAATGATTTTCAGTGGCCACTCCAAAACAAATCAGAGAGTTGATGAAAGTTGATGGATTGACCAATGATGAAGTTAAAAGCCATTTGCAGGTATACATGTTAACCAACTGCAACCTCCCCTCACCCCCACCCCCCAC